TAAAAGTAAAAAGCAATCCTCCAAAATAAAAAGCTAAATGAAATAAATGAGCCCAACTATGGAGTTGGTGGCCTCACCTTGCAGAGAGGAATTATTTCAAGTGGCTTCAAAACATAAAAAGGTGCATTCCTAATGAAATATGTTCTAGAATCAAAAATAACTTTTCCGTAATTATATTGTTAGCAAAGATATTCTGAAACTATCATATATTATAGGAAAAAGCAAATAAGTAACTATGTTAACATCATGAACTTATATGTTTAGCAAAAGAAATACAATCATTCTTTTTCTAAACATATAAGTTCATGATGTTAACATAGTTACTTAAAACAAGGACATCACAGGAAAACTATAGACCAGTGTCCTTTATGATTATAGATGCAAAAATTCTCAACAAAATACTAACAAGCCAAATTCAGCAAGATAGAAGAAAGTTCATATACCATGGCTAAGCAGGATATCTTAGGAATGCTAGGTTGGTTCAGCATATGAAAAATCAAGCGATGTAATCACCATATTAATAGAATAAAAGACAAAACTTACATGAACATCTCAGTAAATATTTTTTAAATGACAAAATTCAACACTGTTTTTTCAGGATTTAAAACACTCAACAAACTAGACATAGAAGGGATCTTCAACCTGACAAAAGGTATCTATGAAAAACCCACACTAGCCAGGCTCAGTGGCTCAGCCTGTAATCCCACGCTTTGGGAGGCTGAGGTGAGTGAATTGCCTTAGCCTGCAGCAACTTGGCGAGACCTCATTTCTGCAATAAATAAATTAAAAAAAATTAGCCGGGCATGGTAGCGCACACCTGTAGTTCCAGCTACTTGGAAGGCTGAGGCGGAAGGATCGCCGGAACCCAGCAGGTCAAGGCTGCAGTGGCCGGGAGCATGCCACTGCACTCCAGTCTGGGCAACAGAGACTCCAACTCAAAAAAAAAGAAAGAAAGAAAAAGAAAAACTCACACTAACATTTTACTTAATGGTGAGAGACTGAAAGCTTTTCCCCTAAGATCAGTGAGAAGACAAGGATGTCTGCTTTTGCCACTTCTATTCCACATTATACTAGGCTTCTAACCAAGACAGTTATACAAGAAAAAGAAACAAATGGCATCTAGATTGGAAAGGAAGAAGTAAACTTATTCTCTTTTTGTGGATGACATTACCTTGCACATAGAAATTTCTAAGGAATCTACACAAAAATTATTAGAACTAATAAACATGCTTGGTAACATTACAGGATACAAGATCAGTATAGAAAAACTGAGTTTATTTTTATATATTGACTAGACATTTCTCCAAAGATGATATATAAATGACTAATAAACATATAAAAAACACTCAGCATTTTTAGGCATTAGGGAAATCAAACCATAAGGAGATACCACTTCACACCCATTAGGACGGTTGTCATCAGAAAGATGGACAATAACAAGCATTGGTGAGGATGTGGGGACATTGGAGCTCTCAGACATTGTTGGTGGGAATGTGAAATGGTACTACCACTTTGGAAAACAGTTGGACACGTCCTTAAAATTTTAAACATTCCAGCCTGAGCAACATAACGACATCTCATCTCTACAAAAAGTCAAAAAATTAGCCGATATGGCATGCACCTGTAGTTCAGCTACTCAGGAGGCTGAAGTGAAAAGACTGCCTGAGCCCAGGAGGTTGAGGCTGCAGTGAGTACGATCATGTCACACTGTGTACTCCAGCCTGGGTGACAGACTGAGACCCTGATTCCAAAAACAAAATTAAACATGGAGCTGCCTTATTATGCCCAGCAGTTCCACTCTCTACCATAGACCTCAGAGAACTGAAAACAGTGCTACATAAAAACGTGCACATGAATGTAGCAGTATTATGCATAATAGCCAAAAAATAGAAACAACCCAAACATCTATTAATCGATAAATGAATAAATAAAATGTGATAAATCCCTACAATGGAATATTATTCAGCCATGAAAAAGAATGAAGCAGTAATGCCTGCTACAACATGGATGAACTTTGAAAATAGTATACTAAGTGTGGCCAAACACAAAAGGCTCAAAGATGAATTCGTTTATATAGTTTTTCCAATAGGAAAATCCATAAACACAGAAAGCAGGTTAGCATTGATAGCAGCTGGCTGGGAGGAGAGAAAAATGGGAGACTGGTTGCTAACGGACACAGGGCTCCTTTAGGGATGATGGAAATGTTCTGGAATTAGGTGGTGGCGATGTTGCACAACTTTGTGACCATATTAAAAACAACTGAATTCTGTACTTTAAAGGGGTAACTTTTATGGTATGTGAATTATATTTCAGTTAAAATTGAGATATTATATAAAGCTAGAGTTCAGTAAAACTTTCATTTTATATGTTAAATATAAAATTTCTGCTCAAACTCTATGTGTCTTCTAAAATATATTTCTAGTTCTAACCACTGGAAAGGAATAGAAATCGACACCTACTCAGTAGTAATGAATGTCCTTGGTACCACTTTGCAGCATCTAAATGGCGATGTTGATGACATTAAGGATCCAGGATTTCTTGGCAGAGCAGCTGGTTCCAGGATAGGGCAGGAAATGTGCAAGTTAAGTCTGGAGAGTCTGTATGTATCTTTTATCAGAAAGCAAGGAAGTCTTTAGCACTCTGCGCTGGTGTCCAGAGGATTCCGGAGTCAACCTGACAAGTCTCCTTTTGGCTAAAGATGGGCTTATTTGGGAACCAATAAGAATAATTGCATTGGGATGAAACACATTACTTATGTTAAAATTTATGATCTCATAATAGAAACAAGTAATTGACCATCTTTGGAGGATGCTATTCTAAAGCCTGGTAAATAACTAGGTCAACATATTTTGCCCTCCCTGTACTTCAGGGTAAACAAATAGTTGATGTGGTAACAATTTCTCTATAGAAGTATGAGTATTTCATCTCGTAAACGAAGAAGGAATGATAGAATTAGAACATCAGCATTTTCCAGATGCCTGATGGAATAAAGAATTTCGACATTGATTATCAGTGGCTGCCAGTATCACAAAAGGAAAGACAACCGGACATTTTGTGTCTCCTAGGAGATGCACGCACCACTGCTTGTGCAGAGGTTGTCAGAATATCTTACCGAGGACCAGGTGTGGTGGCTCACCCCTTGTAATCCTAGCATTTTGGGAGGCTGAGGTAGGAGGATTACTTGAAGCCAGAGTTTGAGAACAGCCTAAGCAACAAAGTGAGACCCAGTTTCTACAAATAATAATTTTAAATTTAGCTGGATATAGTGACACATACTAGTCCTAGCTACTCAGGTGACTAAGACAGGAGGATGGCTTGAGCCCAGACAATTGAGGCTATAGTGAGCTATGATCATGCGACTGCACTCCAGCCTGGGTGATAGAGTAAGACTCTATCTCGAAAAAAAGAAAATAAAAGCAATATTGGATTAGGTCAAGACTCTAGCTCTACCTACCAGTCTACAGGAACTAAAAGGGGGCAGGCAGAGGAACATGTTAACAGATACCACAGAGATGCAAGCAGCAAGATGTCGACTGTGGGAAACCCTACAGGAGAGATGGTCCAGTTTCCTCAACAAACAAATGGCAAGGGGGAAAAAACAGCTTATGAATAAACAAGATTTAGGAGATAACAGTGCTATCTGCAGCAGGTGGACCTTGTTTGCTCCTGATTTAAATAAGCCAACTGTAAAAAGGTATAAAACTGGGGACATGTGAACACCAACTGGATGTGTGATGACACTAAAGAACGAGATGTCTTTAGGTGTTATGGTATTGAAGCCCACAGGGGGCAGGGCCTTCCACCCCTAAGCACACCATGGGACTGGTGGGGAGCAGAGCCCAGAGAGGGATGGAGAAGGGGCTGAGCTAGGGAAGCCTAGGTTATGCTTCCAAACTCATGGATGAATCATTTCTCCCCCACTGGAGAGGAGTGTGAAGAGTGGTGGATAATAGGGAAAAAATGGGCTAACTCTTCACACACACAACACAGAACCCTTCTGTAACCAAATGGGAGCGAGGAGTGCAGTTCTGCGGGTGCCCTGTGATTCAGTTCCTCCAGGAGTTGAAGTCACATCCCGCAGTGAGGGACTCAGTCCCACAAGATTCCCCCACTTCTGGTGGCAATTACAAGCCAGGTCCTGGTAATTCTGACCGACTGGCTATCACTTGGTGTTTCCCATAACCCCCTCCTTGGGTTAGGTGATCTGCCAGAGTGGCTCACAGGACTTGTGGAACACGCATACTGGTTTATGACGGAGGCAATTTCAAAGGACACAAGTGAACAGCCAGTTGAAGAGCCACCTAGGGCAAGGAGTGTGGGGAGGAGCTTTCTGCGGTTTTCTGGAGGCTTCGTCGCATAGGCGTGATCAGTTATTACTCAGTCTCCTGGTCCTTTCCCATTCCTGAAGGAAGGAGTGGATTAGAAGGATTAGAAGTTTCCAAGCTTCTAATTGTGGCATGGTCTTTCTGGTGACCAGCCCCTCCTCCTGGAGCCCACCAAGAGAAACTGCATTAGAGCAGAAGACGGCCTTATCACCCAGCAAATTCCAGGGGACTTAGGAGCTCAAAGACCAAATATTAGAACATAAGATTTTCCTAGCACCCCTGTAGCTCAGGAAATTGCAAGGGTTTTAGAAGCTGTGTACCAGGAACCAGGGACAAAGACCAAAATACGTATTTCTTATTATAAATCACAGTCACACAGCTGGGAGAGAAGCCAGCATGCTACCAAAGGGCTGTCCTGCACATCAAACCTGTGACCGTCTGAAGCCAGGGTTCTTTTGTACACAGTATCCCTGGGTGCTGTGTGTGCAGGGACTGGAGGCAGGGCTCCGAGGTGCCAAGCAGAAGAAAGTCCTGAGTGACCGAGGTCTCCCTGGCTTCTGTTCGTGCCCTAGAGGCTGTGGAAGAAGTGGGGTTTGCCATCAGCCACCCTGTGCTGGGCAGTCTTGGCCACGCACGCTGACGCTGTGCTCTCACCCTCCCCGCGTTTCCCTCCAGCTGCAACAGCAAGCGCTACCTGGAGACCCTTCCCAACACAAGCGTCATCATCCCCTTCCACAACGAGGGCTGGTCCTCGCTGCTCCGCACCGTCCACAGTGTGCTCAGCCGCTCACCCCCGGAGCTGGTCGCCGAGATCGTGCTGGTCGACGACTTCAGTGATCGAGGTAGGACCTGACCCAACCCTCCTCCTGCCCCCTGTGTGCTGGCCAGTGACTCGCCAAGAGGTAGCAGGTGTCCCTTCTGCATCAACATCTGGGCCAGCGTGCAGTCCTGCTCATGAAACTGTGACTGTACAAAGCCAGGGGTCTTTTGTACACAGCATCTTTGGGTGCTGTGTATGCTGGGACTGAAGGCAAGGGTCCGAGGTGCCAAGCAGAAGAAAGTCCTGAGTGCTGAGGGCTACAGCCTCACACGGTGCACACATGCTCTCATTTAATCCTCACAACCTGGTATTTAGCTTCTGTCTTTAACCCCTTTGTATCAGCCTTTGTATCACAGAGAACAGAAAACTTGATAAACAAGGCTCAAATGAGTGAAAGATTCATTCACTTGTCTAGCTAAATATCTTTTTATTGTTCTTATTATTTTTAGAATGGGGATCTCGCTCTGTTGCCCAGGCTGGAGTGCAGTGGTATGATCACAGCTTACTGCCACTTCAAACTCCTGGACTCAAGCCATCCTCCCGCCTCAGCTTGCCAAGTAGCTGGGACTATAGGCATGCACCACCACACTTGGCTAATTATTTTTGTTTTTTAGAGATGGGGTATCCAGGCTGTTCTTGAACTCCTGGTCTCAGGCAATCTTCCCACCTCAACCTCCCCCAAAGTGCTGGGATTACAGGTATGAGCCACCGTGCCCAGCCTGTTTATTTACTATATAACAAGAGAACCAGGACTGGCACAACTGTCTGTCAACGAGGGCCTGTCATCCAAGCACCAGGCTTTTTCCCTCTTCCTGCTTCTTCAGCCTCATGGTCACAAAACAGTACCTCTGGAAAGCCTGCTTTTCGGGCAGGGAAAAGTGGGTAGGTCAAAGGGCATAGAGCCTCCACCTGCTGAGGCCTTGCCTTCTTATTCGGGACAGTCTCCCGGAGACTCTCAGCCCAGAGTCCTGACATCCAGGTACCTCAGTCTGCAAGGGAGGCTGAGAATGTAAGTGTGGGATTGTGGCCTCTTTAGCAGAAATGGACTAGAGGTATTGAGTGAGCCCATCTGGGATTATAGTAATTATCTGCTGACTCCCCGTTTTACAGATGAGAAAACTCAGGAGGTTAAGTGACTCGCCCTTGGTCACATAGCTCTCATAGTAACGTGGTGACTGGACCTTGTGTGTCTGGCCCCAACCATGTGATCTTAATGACATGTACAGCCTCTTAGCTGTATCTCACCCTGTGGAGTAACTCTCCATTTGGGGTTTAAGAGATGCAGAGATACAGCCAACAGTGAAATCCTGGAAGAAATTGCCCTCCAGTCGATGGCCTCAAGCTCGTTCTTTGCTTCAAAGCTTTCAGCAGTTGCAGTGAAATCCAGAGATGCCTTCTCCTGATTGCCGAGGCACTAACAAGCTATGGAGAGTGTGGCAAATGCTCTCCAGGGTAATTGCAGCTTGCACACTCGGGAACAGCTTACCTGCCCCGGCCTGTCTCGCGCCACGCTTTCAATTACATACCTTGAGTGCAGAAGCCTCAGCGTGCATGTGTGTGTGGACACGTGACTCAGTTTTTACTGAGCCCTGGATGTGCCCCTTCTCGTAACTCCCTTTATGTTTTCTTCCTGCTTCCCTTTATCACTTACCACAGGTGGAATTAAAATGTTTATTTAGCGAACATTGGCTTGTGGCATGTCTCCCCCACGGGACTGGCCATTCTGAGTGCAGGGACCACACCGTTGGTCTTGTTCATCACTGATCCTTAGGTGTGCAGCAGGTGCCTAATACATGCTTGATGAACGATCACAGCTTGGTTCTTCTGTACCCTTAGCCCTTCCACCCTGCTGACCGTAGCCTCGCGCACTTTGCATCCACAAAGCAAGGCCCCTGGGCCCACTGATGGCAGGGATGCCTTCCTCGTCCCGTGGCCCTGCCGTGCACGAGATCTGTAACCGTGACCCAGTCACTCAACCTCACTGCCCTGCAGTTCCCTAATCTGTAAAATGGGATCACAGCAATACTTCCTAGGTGACTGTGACTAACTAGTTAATGGATGTGAAGTGCCCAGCGCAGAGCAAACATTACAAACAGGCATGTAAGCTTGGTAGTGTTTCTGTTACGAATGGTATTCATGGCAGGTTTGCAGCAGGGGAGTTGGGGACGAATGTGCAGAGGTGTGTTCACAGGAAGGAGCGCAGGGACAGGTATATCTCCCCTTTTTTTGTGGGGGAGGTTTTGCAGATGTGAAACACAGGACGCATATTTCACCTGCTGCCTAATTGTCTCCCTGTCCCTTTGTCCTTCTCTTTTAATAATAGTAGCCCCAGCCGGGCTCGGTGGCTCAGCCTATAATCCTGCACTTTGGGAGGCTGAGGTGAGTGAATTGCCTGAGCCCGCGGGTTCGAGACCCGCCTGGGCAACTTGGCGAGACCTCATCTCTACGATATATCAAAAAAATTAGCCGGGCGTGGTAGCGCGCACCTATAGTTCCAGCTACTTGGAAGGCTGAGGCAGAGGGATCCCCGGAGCCCAGCAGGTCGAGGCTGCAATGGCCGGGAGCGGCCACTGCACTCCAGTCTGGGTGACAGAGTGAGACTCCAAACCCCCCCCAAAATAATAATAATAATAGTAGCCCCATCTTGGGGAGAATTTCAGTCTGCCAGGCCCATGTGTTTACTCACTTATTCTTGACCACAGGCTCCGAGAGAAGCCTTGGGATCCCTGGCCTCAGATGAGGAACCCAGGCTAAGTGGTTTGCCTGACTCTCACAGCCTGAGTGCCACCCCGAGCCCTGGGGCCTCCATGCCAGGCCCTGGGCCCCACTCTGCCTCTTCTCTCTCTCTCCTGCTTTCCGTCTCCTGGTTTCCTCTCCTAACCTCATCCTTCTCTCTGTGTGGGCCCAGCAGTAAAAAAGAAAACAAAAATGAGCGATTATTCAAGTGATGCATGGCATTCCTGCGGCATAAACAGCCTCTGCCACTTAGGGACAAGCACCCGAGCCTTCCCTCGGATGTGGGCTGCAGGTCCCAGCAGGCCCCCTGCTGCACTCCTTCTCAGGGCCTTAAGCAGCAGTGAGGACTGCACTTACTCTCTGGCTCCACAAAGTACTGCCACAGCAGGGCAGAGCCTCCTGTGCCCTTCCTCTGCCTGGACACCCTCTTCCCAGCTATTCACACAGATGCTCCTCCCGTACATCTCCAGTTAGCCACCCGTCCCCATTCACCATACCCCATATGCGGTTACACACTGGTTTGAGGAGCTGTTGGCTTGCTGTCAGTCTCCCCCACTAGGCCACGTGGGAGATGTGTCAGTGTTTGTGAATTGAGTGCAGTGTGTGAGGAGGGAAGGGAAATGGATGGCCGTGACCTCCGCACATGCAGAAAACCATCTTGAGCCACAGGGTCATCTGTCGCCAGCAAGGCAGGTGTGGTGAGCCAGGTATGAAAGGTCTTTGGTCATTCAGCAGCTCCTACCGTTACTGGCGCTGGCCCATGTCTTTGCATTTTGGGACTCAGGTCCCTGTAACCTGTTTTTCTGAAGCATCAGCTGGCCCTGGGATTGGACTCACAACACTTGGCAGGATCCTGCTCATAGGGCATCAGTCTTCCAGACACAGATCAACCAAGTATCAGCCAGATTAGAAACAGGTATCTAGCTGGGTGCAGTGGCTCACGCCTGTATTCCCAGCACTTTGGAAGCCCAAGGTGGGAGGATTGCTTGAGGTCAGGAGTTCGAGACCAGCCTGAGCAACATAGCAAGACCCCATCTCTACAAAAAAAGAAAAAAAGGAAAAGAATAGAAAAGAAAAGAAATAAGAATCTTTCCTTGTCTGGTTAGAAAAGATTTCTGAGATTTTCTAAGCCAGTGGCTTTGACCCTGCTCCTCAGAGCAGTGGAGGCTCTGGGGGTGTCCAGGAACCCTGTGAGGGGTAGGGAGTATCTAGCAGGCACAGGTGGGGTTCAGGTGCCTGTACTGGCATGACCTGTGTCTGCCTTATAGAAAAGTATTCATGAGGAGGAGTTGCATAGCTAAGACAAAGCGGGAAACCCACAGATATAACTCAACCTGCTCATTTTACGGATGGGAAACTTGAGGCCTGGAGCAGTGGGCAGAGTTAACTAAGAACACACAGCTAGCTGGTTGCAGAGAAGGGACCAAAACGCTATGTTCGGGCCCTAGTGCAGCCTTGTCCCTCCTCACCTTGGCTGGTAAAGTGACACATCTGCAGAAGTACGTCACTTCTTTCTATTCCCAAGGGCACTTCTCCATAAATTACTTTCCCATGATATTAAAGAGCAAAATTCTTGCAAAAGGAAAAAAGAGTTCATTATCAAACACAGCCAGTCCTGAACTGTAATGGCTTACACCTTTAATATTTCAGTTTCCTCAGTATTGTACTCAGTGGCAAGGATAACAATATAACCCTCCCCAAATAAGAAAACAGTCTTGACAAAGAAAAGACATATTAGCTGGGCATGGTGGTACGCACCTGTGGTCCCAGCTACTCAGGAGGCTGAGGCCAGAGTTCAGGGCTGCCGTGAGCTATGATCGCACCACTGCACTTCAGCCCAGGTGACAGAATGAGACCCCATCTTTAAAAAAAAGAGAGAAAAGGTACATTTCATAAGAATGATGTTCTCCAAGTGCATCTGGTTTTCCAGAGAGCAAAAATATTAATCCAGTACGGTGCCATCTCCAACTCCTAAAAAGACAGAAAAATAACAGAGGGCTGTCTCGTGTCACAGATGAGCATGAGAACTGAGACCCCTGACTGCTGCCCCCTTTTCTCAGCGAGTCAGGCTCTGAGCCCAGAGAACTCTTACCTCAAGCCCCCTGGGTCCTGCACCCGAGCTGTTGCATTTTGCCATCTGCATTTTTCAGAAAAGCAATCATCACTCTTATTTCAAGAAGAAACTCTCAAGGTGGCTTTGGAAGAAAACTTACTCAGCAGTGATTGTTTTAAAAATGAGATTTGGGAGAAACAATTTCAGAATTATGGAGAGGCCTGTCTAAAGTA